TGTGTGTGTGTGTGTGTGTGTGTGTGTGTGTGTGTGTGTGTGTGTGTGTGTGCGTGTGTGCGTGTGTGTGTGCGTGTGCGTGTGCGTGTGCGTGTGTGTGTGTGTGCGTGTGCGTGCGCGCGCGCGCGCACATATGCATGTGCATATGTATGTGCGCGTGCGCATATGTGCGCACATGTACACATGTGCGCATATGTGTGTTTGTGTGTGTGTGTGAGTTGTATGCATGCGCCTGTGTGTCTCTCTGTGTCCATATGTATGTGCCTGTGTACATATGTGTGTGCACATGTGTGTGCACGTGTGCATGTGTGTGCACGTGTGTGCACATATGTGTGTATGTGTGCGTGTGTGTGCATGCACATATGTATAGCCATGCATATATGCATTTGTACATGTGTGTGCACATGTGTATGTACATTATGTGTGCATATGTGTGTGTGTATATGTGTACATATGCATGTTTTGTGTGTGCACGTGTGTCTGTGTGCACACATATGTGCACGTGCCCATGTGTGTGCCTGTGTTTGTGTGTGTGCATACGTATGCCTGTGCGTGTGTGCGTGCGTGCTGCCCATGCACCTGGGCGTGCAGGTGTGCGCACATGTGTGTGAAGGCCTGTGTGTTTCCACGTGCAGGTGTGTGTACGTGCGCAGGCACATGGAGGTGCGTGCGTTTCCTCAGGCAGGCGTGTGGGAGCACAGTCGTGTGAGCTGAAGGCATGCCTGTTTGGGTGTTCAGGCCTGGGGGTGTGAAGGTGCGTGCGTTGTGGCAGTGTGGGTTTGAGGCCAACCGTGGTGGCATGGGAAGGTGCGCGCACGTGCAGGCGCGCGTGTGTGCAGGTTTGTCGGTGTGAAGGCCTGTGCGTTTGCACGCGCAGGCGTGTGTGTGGGCGCGTGCAAGCATGTGCGCGTGAAGGCATGTCCATCTGCACGTGCCGGCCTGGGGGCATGAAAGTGCGTGCGCATCGCTGTGTCTGCGCGCTTTCTCTGTGCGGAGCGGCTGCGCGGGCAGCGGGCCGGCGCGGGCGTGCCCGGGGAGCCGGCGGCC